ACTCTTGACGGTTGACCCCCTTGGGCGTCTTGCTACTTATTCACAGGCTGCCACCCAGATTGCCTGCCTATTTTAGGAAAAACGTATCTGCTGCAAATTGTGTGGTGATCGACCAGTGTTGATTTGAATTCATGTATTTGCTCGGCTGACTCCAGGAGAGAAATCAGGTTGTGTGTGTGTGTGTGAGAGAGAGAGAGAGAGAGAGAGAAAGAGAGCACAGTATAACAACCCACTAGGGATTGTGTTGCGCAAAAGAAAGCGTGGGATTCCTGCCCCACCCCTGCCCTCTCCAAGATAAAGAAGTCGCTTTGCTATCCGTTTAGTTAGGAGGGCACCACATGTCCGATGATCTTCCCAACCAAGACAAACGCACGGTGCTGGCTCGCTCGCTCCAACCGAGGGCTGATCAGCCCCGCCGGTATTGGACGGCGAGCCCCTCAGAACGCAGAGCGTGGCTGGTTCCCGCCGTTGCCTTTAAGGGCCAAAGAGGCTTTCTGACCCGAGCTAAATGTGGGGAGGCGGATGTTGAATAACCGAGCGCCTCGAGGGTGCCCGAATCAACCCCGCTTTTTCTTTTCCCGGAGGAGAAACAGGTCCGAGCTCTCTTGTAAGCGTCAGATGGCGGCAGAGGCAGAGTGGAAAAGAAAAGGGGGTTTCGAGCTCGGCTGGTTCAGAACAGGCGGAACCATCAGGGAAAAAAAATGTAGCTGAACCGCCTTTGTATTGTAAGGAGGCAAAAAAAAGGCCGGGGAGTAAGAGAAAGGGCTGGGCCGAGGTTCCCTGCGGGCTTTCGGAAATGGAGCGCGGTTCCCGGGAGAGAAAAAGGTCTGCGTGCGCAGCGCATCTCCTCGCTGCGGCTGGCTGGGCGCTTCTTCGAGCACGGTCAGACTTCGCCTGCGGGGTGGAGCCGGCACTGCAGCCGCGGTACGCTCGTCCGCCTTTGCCTCACCGAGTGGAACGCCCTCTACCGCTCCCAGCGATAACTACCGACGTGTTCTTTCACGCACATGGCTTCTCGGAACGGGCTCCTTCCTTTTTATATACGTATATACCGTATATAAAATTATTTTATATATATCCCGCCGATTTGTATCGGGATCTTTATAGCGATCGGTCGGTGCTGAGCAATCTCTTCGGTTTTCTGTTATTCCTAAACCGTGGGGCCCGGACTATTCAGGGATGACCGCTAGAAGCTCACGTTCTTGGGATTTTAACAAGGGACGGAGGCCAAGACTCCTGGGGGGACGTACGAGCCACGAAACTGTTGCTTTCACAGATGCTCGCCTTACCCTTCTAGTCTGTGGTCTAGATCCAGCCCCCTCGCTGTAAAATTCCTTTGATGCTGTCAGGTGTTAGCCGCCTCCCGGAATAGCTCTTGCCGTGCGCCCTGCCTGTGTCCTCCCCAGTCGAGCGGCAGGTGAGGCCAGGCAGCTAAAATTAACCCCAGTTTGGGTTAGAAAGAAGGAACGTATTTTTGCTAAAACGAATCTTCCGTCGTGGAAACATTTGGGGGGCGCGGTGCAGATTTGAAGTCAGAAGATGGTTTCTTCATCCGAAGAGGGGGGAGGGGACCAAAAAAACCCACAAAAAACCCTGGACTTAGCTCTTAACCTTCCAGAGAGAATCGGAGACTGACATGATGATAAAGATTGATGGAGATGGTATAATTGCTGCCATCTTTCAAGTCCCCAAGGATCTGGCTACTATATCGGTGATGAATTTAACAGGAGCAGGGTTTAAAGGACAGGGACTAAGGCTGCCATGGAGAAACTCTGTTTAAAAAGGACAAGCAGAGCAAGAGGAGAAGTGCCTCTTTGAATATGAATAAAGAAGGGGCTTCCCCCCCAAAAAAATCATCTTCTCAATTAGTCCACAGATATTAAGGGAAACTTGTATAGCAAGAAGAAAGATGCTGGGCACTTTCCCTTGTTTTAATGAGAAGATAAAGATTTGAGAGTGCAGGGAAAGTATTAATGACACTTGAAAGTATTATTATTCCCAGGCTATCTATCAAAATTGAACCACTCATGCCACCAATAACTCTGTAAAAAGGAGAGGCAGAGAAAGTAAACAATATAATTCTGTTGCCTCTCTTTGTACTTTGAGCATTGACAAATACACATTTAAAATACAGGTTTCTGATTGGTTCCAAATTTACAACCACTTCAGTTTTAGTAGAATATCCATATAGAATAGCCATTAGCTCACCATTAGGAAGAACTGTACTCTGTGTGGTCAGTAAATAGCATGCATAAGCAGAGCAAAATAATCAGCTGGTGAACAGTTAGAGTGGGACATTAAAATCTCGCATCTAGAATGACCTATGATTGTGTCTGTACAATGTTTATTTTATTCACTCGTTCATTAGATTTTAATCCTTTTAAAAAGTTCAGTTTCCTCTGCCATACCCAGAAATTGCTTTACAATGTCCGTCAATTTCAAAAGCAGCTAAATAAGTCATAAGGGATTAAGAATATATAAGCCTGAAGATTTTGTGTCTGTGTGTCTAATGCAGTTCTTCAGATATCTGTAAGAGTGGGTACCTGCTTCTGACCCATAATATGTGCAATGCTTACTGTGCCTTTTTTCACATTGTATTGCTGGCAGAAACATGCTGTTACTGACCCTGCCACCCCAATTGATGATACCAATTCATACATTATAAGTTACAATTCGGCTACATTTGCTGTAGACTGCAAGTTACATTTTAACATGTACTCCACAATATGTAAAACATTACTAAAGATGTGGACATTCAGAATTGAAAAATCTCTAAGCTATTTGGTGTTATTTTCTTTCTCCAAAGAATTCATTGTTTTTCTGAGAATAGAAGTTTGTGGTGCAAAAGCTAAAATGCAAGGTTAGTTGTGTTTTCATTTGGGATTGTTCATATTTGTTCTCTACTTTGGGAAGAAGTTGTTTTGCCAATCTGCTTTAAGATGGAATGCTTTAAATTATACCACTAGATATGATTTCCATCTCTTTTTAGATGTGCAGAATAAGACACATTACTTCTTTCTATACAAGATTTCTTAAAAGTAAGATATAGGGAACCCCAATATACATTGTGTTATTTACCTTGGAAAGATTTGGACCAAAGTGTCTTTTTAAAAAATCCTTCATTTAGCATAGTTTGCCACAATTGTACTTGGCTTAGAAATTATAAATCTTAAAAGTGAAAAAAAAGTGTGTATGTGGAGGTGGGGGGTTCTGCTGCTGCTCATATCAATCCAAAATTGGATGATGATGATGATGATGATGATGATTCATCACACAGCCGAATGTACAGACTGAGTCTGGCATTTTTATCCACCTGTTGAGTCCTTCCTAAGGACTTTGGATAGGTAGATGTAGATATTTGATGATGTTATAGGTATCATTGCAGGATATAAGCTGTTCCGAGTAAAGCTGCCTTTTGTAATTGACTGATGGTGTATTTTGTCAATGCAGATGTTGTTCAAGCACTGCTTCAGTTGTTTCGGGATTGCACCCAAGGCACCTATTACTATTGGTATTGCCTTTGCTTTTGCCACAGTCATTTTATTTCTATTTGCAGGTCTTTGTATTTTGTTATCTTCTCTTCTATTCTGTTCTCTCCAAGTATTGCCACATCCATCCAGACTTTTTTTTTGTTTTTCTGATCAACATTTGTTAAGTTTAGTGTCTTATATGGCAGATATAACTGAATTGCAAGGTCTGTTTGAATTGCAAAGTCCCAGAACACATTAGCTTCTTCATTTTCCATGGTCGCCATTTGCAACATTCTCTGGCTTCCCCATTGACTTAGCTTGTACAAAGTTAACATAGAACATTGAAAGTGGCAATCACATGATTGTGGAGGCACTGCTTTCAATGTAAGTGACATAAAATATAACTACCACTTGTTCAGGACCATCGTAAGTTTGAATAGTCACTGAAAGAGTGGTTGTTAAATGAAGACCACCTGTATATAAAATGTTTCTCATATTCTAAATATGTTGTTAGTTTAAAGAAGGTGAAGAAGTTTCTGCATCATGCAGTATCCCATAATCTTACGCTCACCAGCCATTGTGGATTACAACTGTTACAACTGTTGATTGGTAGGGATAAAGGGAATTATAGTTCAAAACATCTGAGAGGCTGAAGTTTGGTGAAGTTCATTTTAGATTTACTTTTCTAAGTCATCAAACGTTATAGGAATTAAAGCAACTAAAAGAGGGTCCAATCCAGACTGCTCGTATCTTTTTCATGATCTCCAACTTAAGTTATAGTGGTTTTTCATAAAATTAACCCCAACTCACCAGTTCAAAGAGCAAAAGACAGTTTACTAAAAGCATATGTCAAATACACATATACACACTACTATAAATAAAAATAGAGTTTTGTTGGGCTAATTCAGTTTGACGTTTATTTAATCAAACCTCACATAGGTGCAGATTTGTAAAATGAAGAGGTGCAGTACTTAATTTATCAGACTGAGACCTCCATGTGGCTTTGCTGCAGTTGCTTCTCCTACCCTTGTCTCTTGTCTGTGCATAAAAACTCCTTGCTTCAAAAGAAAGCAGATGGTTGAGGTGGATCAGCCCAACCTCTAATGCTTCCCTTTGAATACTAAGGCAGGTTGTATTACTGCTAGAACTTAAAGTGAAACAATAAGGTAGGCAATGCCTGCTTTGCACAGGCCTATGGAGCACCTCCTCATCTCATCCTTTCTCTGCCTTCCTGAAAATTCTAATCTGTGTTTAACTTACTTGGGTTGCAATACAGAGGATGGACCCAGGTGAGATTGCCTCTCACAATGCAGAATAAAAAGGATATATAGGAGGGAAAGGTGACCTTGTATTAAAATAATCAAGTCTGGATGGAAGTGGCCAATTGCATAACAGCAGGTAAAGGTAGGTCTTATCTAAGTCCAAGGAGATGATGGAACAGACATGGGAATTTTCATGCTCTTTAAATATTCTTTTTTCTTTGCCTTTTTAACAGATTTTTCCCCTGTTACAAATATTTACATGACTAAAAGACTGCAGCATTTAACAGTAATGATTCTGTGGCAAGAACTGTATGTTTTCAAAAACCTGGAAATATTCACTAATGTTAATATAATACATATTTATACATGCAAAGGAATTTAATTACCAAAAATGTCATTCCAGTACAATAAATGGATTTTTTTAAAAGAAAGAAAACTATAATTACAGAGGAATTGGTCCCTTGCATGTGGAAGCAATTTTTCCTCCCCTTGGAAGATCAATCTAGCTCCCAGTTAATAGATATATTTGTAATTGAAGTGGGTTGAAACTTAAAGAATGTAGTACTTATATTGGCATCAGGGGTACCATTTCAGGAGTGCTATTCCAATGCTCTGGAGCATCTTGTCTCAGCAATTGTCAGGGTTCCACTAGTAGCTGTAAATTTCCAGCGCTGGAATGCAGAATATTTATAAGTGAGCATGGGAAAAGAAATAATAACCAACTTGCTATTATACACTATGAAACACATATAGAGAAAAATATTGTTTTTGAAGCCAGGGAAAATATAAATGCAGGATTCAGCCTTATATAAGACTACGTCATTTGTAACGATTGAGTTCCAGTAAAGATTTACTCCTAGTCATGTCATACTTATTTTCTGGGAAGCTTTAGCCAAACTTATACCATTCTTGGGGAAGCCTCCCAGAAATGGAGGGAGAATGCATGTTAGAAATGTTACCACATTTTTCATAGTCTAACCCAGGGGTTCTCAACCTTGGCAACTTTAAGACTTGTGGACTTCAACTCTCAGAATTTCTCAGCCGGCAAAGCAAGTCTTAAAGTTGCCAAGGTTGAGGACCCCTGGTCTAACCAGTAATTGGCAACCTCTAATTTGTAAACTCTACAAACTGCAGACAAAATTTAATACCCAAGGCACAAAACAGTTATTAGAAAGTCTGGTCAAATGAATCTCCCATGTGTTCTTAATATATGAGAAGGAATGTCTATGGTGATTCTCAGTCATCCAGACCACGGTTGTCCCAAAGGTGTTTTTTTCAAAAGGCAACTGGACTTTCTTTGTTTTTTTCCTTGAAGATGTTTCACTTCTCATCCAGGAAGCTTCTTCAGATCAGATGAGAAGCAAAACATCTTCAAGGAAAAAGTTGCCTTTTGAAAAAGCACCTTTGGGACATATGAGGAAAAAATTATAAGTATGCATTATAAAGATCTGGACTGAAAAAAATGGCAATTAAAAGTATTGAGGCTAGCACTAAGGGAGAAGCAGAGAAGGAAAACATTGGCAGTTATTTGGAAGCAGAGTTCTTGATACCTCATGACTGAATAGTATAAATCTTTGATTTGATGTTGGCATTGTACTGGGACAATATTTGCATGATTTACATATGAATATGCATGACCTAAGAGAGATTGACTGACCTTTGTTCCAGGATATTGAGGCGCATGAATGAATCAAGGAACATATCTCCTTATAAAATTATCTGATTCATCCAGTAGTTTCACATTACTTTATTTCAGAAGCACATCTTTGAAAGGTGGCTTACAAAATAAAAATCTAAACCCCAAAACAAGTTAAAATGCAACCATAACATAATGATGCATAACAACAAAACCTCTCAATAGGTCATAAATAAAACACACTCACGTACTTCAACTAAATAATGCACACTGCAATAAGATGAATTTAAGAGACTGATAATAGACTGTAATGACATCAAATAAACCTCCATTAGAAGGCTGAGAAGTCCAACAGAAAGTGTCTTCTTATTCATTCTTACCAGCTCTTGTTCCATTGTTAATGAGATACTATATTGTAGAGAGCCTCAGATCTCAAGACGTTCAGATGTGAATATAAACTGGGGTTGTGTCATTTCAAGTTTTAAAAGTGTAATTAGCACCTTAAGTTGAGCCCAGAACTGAATTTGTCATTATATGAGCTACCTTACTGATTCCATGCTAAATGTAACCACAGTCTTCTGAAACTATTGATGTTTCAGGTTGACTTCAATCGCAGCTTGGTTTTAAGTGCATTACAATAGTTCAATGGAGGAGAGTCTGCAGTAGGAATAGTCAGAATTAAGTTGATTTTTGAGGGGAAAAAAACAGTTCATTAACAAATTAATTAGTTTGCAATAGTGGCAGATATCTGTAGCTTGGGTGTAGGATGAGGGTGAAGGTTCGTTCTCTGAGCTTGAGGGTTGGTTTCCAAATGTTTTGTTACCAGGCTAGGTAACATCTTCAGCGGTGTTTACGGGATGTCAGTGTTCTACTTATATAAGGGCTTCAAGTGTGTGAGTGTCAAGTGAGGGTCTTGTGATGGGCCAGATGGTGAGTCGTCAGAGACTGGCTTGTGATGGTGAGGTACTTCAGGTAAGGGTGATTGGAGGGTGTGAATTAGTGGGTCAGGAGTGAGTCATCAGAGGGAGGCTGGTAATGGGTCTTGTGATGGGGAGACTATATCAGGTCAGGGTCATTGGAAGGTGAATTAACTAATTAAAATTAATTATTAGATAGACTTGATTGGAGGCATATTTTTCTATCATTGTAACTTACAATTATATAAGCACAAATTGGTTGAGGAACAACTCCCAAGATGCAGATTTTTTACTTCCAGAATAATGCAAATTTATTTAAAGCAGGATGAAGCATCTCTTCCAAGATTATCAGTACTTCCATCCAATGGTTTCCATCACATATTTCCACCTTATTTCTGTACAATGTTGTCCACGCTTTACAAGGCATTCACATATTTTTTCAGATAATAAAATAATGCTGAAAATATATAAACATAATAAAATTAATAATAACTCAAAATTGTTACCATGTAGTGATAGTTGTTGAGATGTCCACGTACAAGTTGCCACCCTTTCTTATTCTATAACCTCCTTGATGCAATAATCCATACTGTGAACTATTCTAGTGCCCCTTTCAACAGAACTGTCTTCTCTGATCCCTTGGGTCTCTTTGCTTGAAAGGTCTGACTTACTGTTAGTATACAACCCTCACTCTCAGTTCTTGATGTTAGCTGGCTAAAAAGCCTGAACTGATCATATTTAGTGTCAAATTTTTCCAGTAGCACACAACCTGGTTAAGATTCATGATCTCCTTTCCCTTGATGTTATTGGCATGGTTCCCCACAGTGCATGTAATTTCACATTAATTCATCACATCTCTGACTGGGTAGCAATAATGCCTTTCTAACAGGGGGCATGAATAATATAAAATTAATTCCCTACTAGAAAATTTGCCATGAATCAATGCTTAGAATAAGGATGAAACATGGAAAATGGAGCAGCCTTGATTCAAAGCATGGTTTAAAAAATAAAGATAATCTTACATTATTAGGAATTGGGGAACAGATTGGAGCATGAGTCCTGTGAAATTGTTGGATGATTGCATGGTCATTCAGTTCATATGAGACAACCAAATTACAGAAGGAAGATGGCTGTTTTCTGTGGACACTTCAAACAGGAGCCATTATTTGTGCCAGTTGGACCAGACTGATGTCCTAAGATGCTTGTTACCTAAGTAGAAAAATGGACACAAGAGGTGGTAAAAAACACAATGAGATAGAAAGGAAGTTTGGTTGTAATTGCATGTTTTTGTCTTCTAAGGTAGTATCTCCTAGTATAGGCAGAGATACAGAGTTAATCAGATATTTGAATGAGTGCTTCCTTTTTCCTAGCCATGTTAAAATAAACCTCCAGGGAGCCTGTTTTATTGCAGCTGTATACAAGCAATAGTTAATTTCTTTAAAAAAAAAAAAAAAGCTGGGCTTAACCTCTCTGAAAACAAGGTCTTTTTTTCAGAAGGCTGCTTTCTAATCCACCAAATATAAGACATGTCCGTAATTGCTGATGAATGAGGTAAACACACTGGACATTTGGTCAGGAATATTTTTGATATTATTATTATTATTACTATTACTTGGCAGCTCAGGTTTGATTTCAACTATAAGCCTATCCTCTGGATTAGGTTATCCTTGTTTAAGGAAGTATCTCTAATTGTTCTTCTCAGCTTCACACCTCCCCCTCTTCCCCCGCTACCCCTGTCTCTGTCATCATAAATGCATATAAATAATTGAAATCCTTGGAAGCAGAACGGAAAAGTGATTTTGAATGCTGCCAAGGTGTAGGGCTAGTCCAAGGCAGCTGGCAGTTTCTGGCTATTCCTGTTACACTGAAACCATTTAGAGAGCTGTCCAGCAGGGCAAGGATTTCACTCAAAGTTTGCCCTAAAGGGATGGCGACACAAGTTGTATCTGAAGTGCTATAGTCTGCTTCTGCACCTCCCTCCTCTCACAGTGAAATATGCAGACTATCTGGAAGCTGTGTTAAATGTTTAATGAGGCCCCTGACTGAGCAAAGCTGGAGGAGCCACAATCAGAGGACTAGTTTCTTCCTCATGGGTCACTGATTTTACACATGGCTCACTCTGTGTTGCTACCCAAAAGCCCTTTCCTCATGGGAATGATTGTATGCAGAAAAAAGGGCATTAATATTTATAAAGCAAGCAAGCTCTACAACTGCTCTCAGGACTACAATTAAACTTTGACAATAGTAATAAGGAGTCTTGTGCCTTCTGCAGCTGTTGCTTGCCTTTGGTTCTGAGGAAGCAGACCTCACATAGACAATTGGGGAAGTGATATCCAGCCCACAGTCCACAATGATTGATGCAGTAGACCTTTAGAGTTTCATATGTGCAGTCAGAGGCAAAAGGGCTAATACTGTTCCTAGGTCTGTAGAAAGCATAAAAATCAGATGGGAGGTATTTCTCTAAACCCCTGACTCAGTGAAGATAGTTGAGGGCATCCTGTAAGAAAGGACCAGAGCTCTCCCACTGATGCTATTCTTGAAGAGATGAATGGATTGGTGTTAGTGGGTTCAGTTAATCTTAGACTCCAGATATTAGGGGCTCAAATTCTAGAATCTACATTTTTAATTTCGGGTAAGGCCAGGATGGTGGCAGTCTTGCCTCTGTAGTTCTACTTGCTTCTATGCGACACAGTTTACTTTTTTGGTTTGCAGTTTTGCCTTTAATGGCAGCATATTCTTAGGTTCTTTTAGACAAAAATGCACCCACCCCTTTGCCTTATAATACTGGGCGTTGTTTGACTATCAAGAAAGTGGCTTTAAGAGAGGGGTTTCTTTCTTCTAGCCATTCTAAGACACAGCAGTGTTCCAAGAAAACTCCTTTAGAAATCCTAATGGCCCACTTCCCCAGGGATACCCCTTCTAAACTGCATTCATTTGAGAATATTTCTTATGGAGGAGAAAATATATGTTGTTTCCTCTGACTCCCATCAATATATAATTCAAATTCAAATGCTTTTATGGCCGGTCTTGAATACTATAATATAATCACTCTCTAGTACTAGATTAATTTTTGTCTGAGTGAAATCATGGTTTCCTGGTGTCTTGCTCTTATTTGAGAGAGAAAACCAAATTCTTATTCAGTGTTTCGACTGCTGCATCCTGCAAACCTTTTAAGACCTCTAATTCTGTACACTTGAGTAAAATTCCATGTTGAAATTATGAATGGTCTCATTACAATGCAATTTTACTGGGATTTAAAATTATTCCTGGAATTTTCCACCACATTCACTGTTGGCCTTAGATAACTTACAAGCACAAACCTTGAAGAGAAAGAGAGAGGGGGAGGGAAGGTGGGAGGGAGGGAGGGGGAGAGGGAGGGAGGGAGGGAGAGAGAGAGATGACCATGTAGATCCAGTGGGAAACAAAATCCAGAAATGATTAGAGGAAGATTTATTATTTAAGCTAATGGCCACCACTTGGGAAAATGTTAGAAAGTAAGGCCAAGTTTGGCCAACCGAATAGGCATTCCAAGCAATTAAAGAGGATAGTGTTATTTTTAGGAGCTGAACCAATGAATGAAGCAAACATTGATTTGAAAATTATTTTAAATAACTGGGCTTTTTTTTAGATCAAAATGGGGATTGTCTGATTTGTGTTCAAAGCAATGATGTATTAATTTGTATGCAAAGAATCTTTGTCCAATGCCATTCAAATTATACCTATTTTTAAAATTTGAAATATATTTTTTAGAGCTGTTTGTAGCAAATCCTTTTTCCATCCCTAATTTTGACTTAGTGCTTTGGAACTAACGCTTTACATGACATTATAAAATGACAGTGAAGTAGTAGTGTAGTAGCCTCTTTGGCTGTTAAGTTAGAAGTGATACTGCATTTCTTGTGAACTTAGTAAAGGGCTGATTTTAGGGTGTGGTGTTCCAGTTCATTTCCTGTATTCATATAAACATTTGCATTCAGTGGGCCATTGAATGAAAGTAAACGATCCATTCATTTTGCATCAACTTCCAGAATTTTTTATGAAACAGTGACAAATTAAACAAGCAGTGCTACCTGAATGGTTACCTTGCTCTACTTCCAACTGCACATGTAAGAACTGAGGATGACAGATTATTAAGTATAGATTGATTACACATTAATGCACATTAATCATATTGCCATACTAAATCAAAATGGGGTGGGTTTTTTTGCCATAGCATGCTAATGAACTGGGATGGGGAGAAGGAGTTTAATTTGTGACTGTGAGCATGTGCCTTCATTGACAGGTCGGTCACAAAGACAGAGGCTAATACTGGGGAGTGGGGGTGTCATCTTTTTTCATTGAAGACCAAGGTCAGGATATGACTACTTAAAATGTATTCACTTCTTTGTTTATTTCTTTGCCAAGAATTTCTTAGTGACACATAGAAGTATTTAAAGTTACAAAAAAAAAGAAATTAAAATACAGTAGAGATAAACCAATATAATCACAGCAAGCAGATCTAATGATTTCAAACAGAAACCTTTGAAAGTCTCTTAAGTTTGCAGACAGCCTGGGTGAAACGGAAGGTTAGTTTCGGCAGCTTTCCAATGGATCTTACTACTTTAGGGTTAGGCTGCCTGAATTTGTCTTCCATCTTTCACACTCAACATAGCAAATAGCGAAGGACTTTGGAAATTATAACCCAAAACATCTGGAGGGTGGGAATCACTGCTATTACTGTAGTAAACAGTGTTGCTCAGAGAGCCTCCAGTGAATTCAAGGGAGGTGTGAATGAAAGCAGTCCTTCAGATATCTGGCCCCAAATGATTTTGATCTTTAACTGTTAAAACTATGTATGTATATAGGTGTGTATGTGTGTATGTCAGGCTCTCAGGTTAAACCAGATAAAAATCATAATCAAATGAGCTAATTCTACTTTATTATAAAGCTACATTTACAGAATATTGCAGGTCTAAAAGTACAGTACAATCCTCCACCCACCTATCTCCTTTACAACCCAAGAAACTAGGAAAGGTCCCTTCTGAGCCTCTTGCCCTGCCCACATTCCTGCAGTAGGCTTAGCTGCTTTTTACTGTATCTGACCATTCCCTTGGCTATATCTCTTTGCCTTGTCTTCCAAGGTCTTTCCCACATGCAATTGCACCAGGTATTCGGGTTCAATCTCTTCCATTTTATGTCAATGAGATACAACTAATATTATTGCTCCTATTGTTTATTTCAGACAGAATTAAAAAAAATAGTTTTTGCTAATAAAATAGCCGTAGGCAATAAAAGTGTGAATAATCAGCAAATCCAGAATAATCTCAAACATAATTTATATAACTTTTTAAAAAGAGTATATATTAATACAAGCTGGATTGGAAGAAGATGGGTATGTTTTTAAAACTGGAAGGAACATTAATAACCTGTGTTATGCTGCTGATGCTACTTTTATAGCTCAAAATACAAAAGATCTGCAAGCTCTTGTAGTGAAAATCAAGGAGCACAGTGGAAAAAATGGAACTCAAACCAGATATAAAAAAGACTAATGACAAGAGTACAACAATCTTAGAATTAACAATGACGATAATAAAATGGTAGGCAGCTTCTGCCTGTGTGATTTTGTAATTCCCAAAGGAAAAGGACAAAAGAACTGGCTCACCCAGTTTCAGCACACTGTTGACAGTCAGCTGTTTGGCGGAGCGCCACAGCTCCTTGCTTTTCTTCCAGCTGGTGACGACTTGGGCTGCCTGGGCAAACCCGGCAGCCTCTCCTCTGTCCTTTCAGTGGGTTTCTTCAGTCCGTCCAGACCGATTGTCATCTGGTCCAGACTCCTAAAACATCCCTCCTTCTTCATTGCCCCTCCAGGGCACCTTTCCGACCCCTTAGGGTCACTGGGCAGAAAGAAATCGAGCTGGGAAGCCGGAGTCCCGGGTTCTTCCACTGTCTCGTTGCACGCCAAACAGGAAGTCTTAGAATTAACATGGACAATACTAAAGTGGTAGGTAGCTTCTGCCTGTGTGACTCAAGCATCGACAGTAAAGAAACAAGTATTCAAGAAATTTGCTGCAAATTAGCACTTGGTAGAGTAGTTACGAAGACCTCGGAAAAGATAGTCAATTGCTGCAATGTATTTATAATTACAAAATCAGAATAGTACAGGGAGTGGAATTCCCCTTGATACTTTATGGAAGTGAAAGTTGGACTTCGAAGAGACAGGATAGAAAGAACTGCAGGATCCAGTCTGGGCCAGTCACTGGGACCAGAGGTTTTCTCTTCCAAGCTTTCAGACTTGTACTGGAGTCCATCTTCAGGGAACTTCTCTCTAGCAGAGTACGTGCTGTTCTGTGTGTAGTCTTTATATAGTGCCTGTTGTATGTGGCTTTTTAGATGTTGATTTGGGTGTTGATGTCTGGCTATTAAGTTGTTGGCTGTCATTTGCTTGTGCTGCCCAGCCCTCACCTTCTAAATACAGGTAATCCCCGAGTTACGAGCATTCACTTAACGCTCGTTCAAAGTGTTTACGAGCAAATCCCAAAATTATGATTACAGTACATGATAGGCTGGTGGTAAATCAGCACTCCTGTTGATTGACAAGGGGCCCATTTCCCAGACTTCAATCACTTCCCTGGCTGTTTTTGTGCCTGCTTATCCAACAAACTTTATAGATGCAAAATTGAATGCATGTCCTAGTTCATAGCACATTGACACTTTTGAACTTTGGTGTTCAAAGTTCAAGACTTCTGAGTAGCCCATGGACAGCCAGGGAAACAAATGATTTATCCAACCAACCAATCCAGAGTTGTCACTCAAGGCAAAAATGACCAGGCTCAAATCATCATACTTCAGACATTTTATGTCAAGATCTAATGCTGGGAAAGGTGGAAGGAAAGAGAAGAAGATGACTAGTAGCAAGGTAGATGGATACAGTTACAATGGTAACATAAGTTCTATTGGACCAGGTTAAGGACAGAATGCCATGGAGAAAATCTGTCTATGTGAAAGAACATAACTGATAAAGTTAAAGAAAATCTGAAATTTTACATTTTTTTAATGTATTCTGAAGATTAGAGAGGCTGGTCAACATGAGCTCATTGTGTCCAATACAAGACAGTCATTTATCTCCACTACAAAGTACATGCATATTATGGATTCTAAAGATACATTCCATGTAGGTCCTAAGGCAAAAGCTGATTAACTAGCTGGCAGCTACATCTGGTTGACTACAAGAACTTCAGCTAGCAGAGTGTCTAGCACAAAACTCTTCGGAGATTTTGGGTCCATGGTTGAGACCTCCTGAGCTTCTAAAAGAAATTAGTCTTCAAAAGACAATTGATGCCTTAAAGTGGTCTTCCCAACTTAATGTCCAAATGGACCTTTTAATTTTTATTATTTCTGTGTATCCTTTTTGCCTCAAGCTCTTTGCTTTCCATTTTTCTTTTTGTTGTTGTTAATTGTGAAGTCGTGTCTGACCCATCGCAACCCCACGGACAATGTTCCTCCAGGTCTTCCTTTTTTAAGGTGCTCTAAATACATTTCTCCTTCCTGCAGTGCACCTACTTTCTTTGCCTCTTCCTTTTTTGGTTCCCCTCATATGGTGAAGCACAGAAATATCATAAAGAATTATTGGATGAAAAAACAAGAAATCATCTCTCAGCCATTTAACTGGCTTTCAGGCAAAGGTTCTCTAAATCTTTGTATAAAAATGAGGAACTTACCTGAAACCATTTCCCTAAAGTGATTCTACTTTGCCATATCACTTCTTTGCCTATCACCTGCTTAACTGACTTATTGAATTAACCCAGTTACCCAGATGGGTAAAACACAGTGAACCATACACTAAACACATGGTTGGGTTTATATAGTATACCAAACCATCCACAAATTAGCCTGCCAGTTTTAACTTAGCATATTATGTGAACACAGCCAATATTTTTCATTGGGTTCACTTAATCTTTTGCTTGGGACATTTTCTCAGGCAGATGTCAGTGAACAATCAACTTTATATAAGCAATTAATTCCAGATCTAAGCTAACGATTCTGATTCAGTCTTAGACCTATAAATGTTCAAAATAAAATAGTTTTAATTATAATTTCCCTAGAATAATTACACATAGATAATGCAGTTATCTATTATATGTATTTCAGCTCTGATTTATATTAGCATTTTGGTGAGAGTGTTTTGGCGATGAGAAGTAGAGATTTTGCCATTATAACTAGACAGGCTTGATGAAAGGATTGTTTTATCCCTTTATTTAATGCTGTTAATCTCTTGCTTCAATGATGAAACAATCAATTCTGCTGACTTATTATATAAAGAAATATTTTCATTTATCAGTTTTGAATGTACCACTTTCCATTTCCATTTGTTGTTAATCAACAATTCTTTAGGAGGTGTTAAAAGCCCTTATTAGGAACAGAGAGTCACTTTGAGGTAATAGCTGTTGCTGCTGAAGCTTTTTAAAGACCAAAGTCACATGCAGAGGGAAAGGAAAGAACAGCCAAGATAAGGAGAGACAGTTTTTGTAATTTAGTGTCTGAAGTTTAGTTGCTGGAATAAAATTCCTGGCAAAGCATGCATTGCATAGCTACTTGAAATTCCAGCAAGGTTAGATAGCATCATTTTTAAATTATTTCTTGATTTGAGTCATCTTGCAACAAGTTTGTCTGACCTAAACACACACACACACACACACACACACACACAGAAATAAGAAAGAAAGAATGAAGGAAATAGTAAAGAAGACACGGTACAGAGCACGAATCACACGAACATTAGAAAATAGGAAGTGTATGAATAGTTTAATTACTGTGGAGGAAATTGGCTTAGCTATTAAGCAGTTAAAGGTTGGAAAGTCTCCTGGAACAGATGGACTGACTTCTAGGTATTATAAGATTTTATCTGAAGAAATGATAGAGCCACTAAAGGAACTCTTTAATAGTATTTTGTTGGGTATGCAAGTTCCTCCTTCTTGGAAAAGAGCTTTTATATCACTGATTCCGAAGGAAGATCAGGATCTTACAGAGCCTAAGAATTATAGGCCAATTTCATTATTGAATGTTGATTATAAGATCTTTACAAAAATTTTGGCAAATAGATTAATGCAGGTTATGAAAGACTTGATTCATAGTGATCAAGCAGGATTTATAACAGGGAGATATATGAAACATAATGTTAGACAAATTATTAACTTAATTGAGTACTTGGATAAGAATAATCAGATTCCTGTGGCTTTTATCTTTTTGGACGCTGAAAAAGCTTTTGATCAATTGGACTGGCAATTTTTATTTTCTTTGGTAGAGAAAATGAATTTTGGGGATAATTTTTTACATGCACTTAAAGCTATATATCAGCAGCAATCTGCACAAATTGTTGTAAATGGGGGATTGACTGAGAATTTCAATATTCAAAAAGGGACAAGACAAGGATGTCCATTATCCCCATTGTTATTTGTTTTAACATTGGAAATTTTATTGATTCAGATTCGGGAATCGAAGTTAGTTAAGGGTGTAAAGATAAGGAAGAATGAGTATAAATTGCGGGCATTTGCGGATGATTTGGTTTTAATTTTGGAACAGCCGAATCAGGCGATTGATGGTTTATTAGAACTTATAACACAGTATGGGAATGTTTCTGGTTTTAAAGTTAATAATTATAAGACTAAGATATTATCTAAGAATATGTCAGTTAAAGAAAGGGAAAGTTTGATTAAAGCCACAGGTTTTCAGATGGTAAAAAAGGTTAAATACTTGGGAGTATATCTAACTGCTTCAAATGGAAAATTGTACAAGAACAATTATGAACCACTATGGGCAAAAGTCCAAAAGGATTTAATAGATTGGAAAAAATTGCAATTGTCATTGTTGGGGAGAATTTCAGCTGTAAAAATGAATGTTCTACCAAAGTTTCTTTTTTTGTTTCAGATGATACCTATTCTTAAAAAAGAGGCAAATTTGGAGGAATGGCAAAAGGGTATCAATAATTTTATATGGGTCGGGAAGAAACCAAGGGTTAAATTTAAGATATTACAGGATGCTCGAGAAAGAGGGGGACTTAAGGCACCTAATTTGAAATTATATTATGATGCAGCCGCCCTAACTTGGTTAAGTGATTGGCTTAATTTAACAAATATGGATATTCTTTTTTTGGAAGGTTGGGATTTAATATATGGTTGGCATGCATATTTAATTTTTAATAAGAAAGTTGATCGGACTTTTAAATCACATATTTTGAGGAATGCCTTACTTCGTGTTTGGAAGAAGTATTATTATAGATTAAATTATAAAATACCTATCTGGGGGATTCCCAGACATGCAATTGAGGGAACCTCTAAGGGGACAAATTTTGATAAAATTTCATATAAAGAATTGTTAATTTGTTCTGGTTCGAATTGGCATTTGAAATCCCTAGATGTATTAAGGCAGCAAAATATTCTACAGTCATGGTTTCAATATTTACAAATAATGGATAGATGGACTGTAGACAAGAAAGAGGGAATAACACTAGAAGATAGACAATTTGTTATTCAGATTAAAAACCAAGGTCCGGCTCATATAAAAAGAATATATAATGTTTTATTAGAGTTAGATTCGGAAACAGAATTGGTTAAAGATTGTATGATTAAATGGGCTCAGAATATACAGGAGCCGATCTCATTGGATTTATGGGAGATAATTTGGATAAGAAATGTTAAATTTACACAAGCTCAAAATTTGAGAGAAAATTTTTATAAAATGTTTTATAGATGGCATTTAGATCCTAAAAAATTATCTTGTATGTATTCCAACATACAGCCCAAATGTTGGAGATGTGGCAATAATGATGCGACATACTTTCATATTTGGTGGAATTGTAAAAAAGTAAAGGCTTTTTGGATTATGATTTGGTGGAACATTCAAAAGATTTTTAGAAAGAAGATAAAGTTTACTCCTCAACTATTTTTACTTGGTATTTTTGTTGACTTAAATGAAAAAGAAACTACTTTGATGTTGAATTTATTAACTGCAGCAAGGTTACTAGTAGGTCTATATTGGAAGAAAGATTCTTTGCCTACTTTAGAAGAATGGATATTTAAAGTATCTAGTTTTGCAGAAATGGCAAAAATTTCTGCTTATTTAAAGGATCATACACAAGAAAGATATATTACTGTATGGGGAAGGTGGATAGATTATATTCAGAAAAAATATGGAATTAAAAAGTTTTATTTATTTTATGAATGAATATCAAATATTATAGAGAATTGTTTTATAAGTTATGGAGTTAAAGGTTAATTATGATATTTTTTTTTCTTTCTCTTTTTTTTTCTTTTTTTTAATTATTATAATTTTCTTTTTCTTTTTTTTTCTTAACCCTGTATTCTGCTCTGGGAAGTGAAGGGAGGGGGGGGGGTGGGGGTGGGAGGGAGGGTAAGGGGGGGGGGTTCTCTATTTTAAAATTTTATTGTATTTTTATAAATGATTGTATGTTTTAAAAAAATAAAAATTTTCAATAATAAAAGAAAATAGGAAGTGTAGTTGTCTGGACACAGGTTACTATTTTTTCTCTTGAGCATCTGGCAATAAAATATTAATATGATTGCCAAGAGTCAATCTTTTATTAGCTAGACATGTCTTATCATGCCATTACTCAATTCATTTTAGAGATCTTTCTTAGTCTATTCCAGCTGGATCTCAGATAATTGTGCTAAAATTGGATGCCTCAGAACTTTGCTGAATCACAATATTGAAAATAAAGGTTTGTTACAGGAAACTTCCCAAGGTCCAAAGATGAGATCTTCTGCCCAAATGAAAGTGAGATGGGGTAGGGAAAAATCAGTTTTAGACTGTTTACAATGCTGGGATAAAATCAGGTTTGCAGAAGATACTTCATGACACATAATTTGGACCTAGAAGAGAAAGTGCAAAAATTGCATTCACTATTTAAATGGTAACTCTCACCAGTTTATGCAGGAAAACAATCCTCAGCACCAAATTAATTATGAGGATTGTAAGATTGCTGGCAAAGCAAGAAAACGTATGTCACAGTAACATCAATTCAGTGTCCTATTTTGTGCTAAAAATACAAGATGGCATATATGTGTCTGTATTCATGTGAAAATTACTTTGGGGAAGCTAATCCCAAGATATTCATAGTATTTTACTACATTTTTCTTGTCGCTCTGGATTGGAGGCTGCATATAAATTGATGATAAACTTCTCAGTTAATATTCATGAAGCTTAAGCTTGGTAATGTCAAAGTGACTTGAGTGGTTCAGTTATACCTTAATGGAAACAGCTAGCTGGGCATGCTCGTCTCTTTTGGTTTGGCAGGTACCTTTTCTCGGATGCAAGTGTGAGACACTAGTGCAAAGGCAGTATCTATGAAATGAAAATATATCTTTTCAATCAATCAGAATACAGCTGAAAGGGACCTTGGAGGTCTTCTAGTTCAACCCCCTGCTCAAGCAGGAGACTCTATACCATTTCAAACAGGTGATCCAGTCTTTTTTTAGAAACCTCCAGGGATGAAGCACTCATGGCTTCTGAAGGCATTCTACTGCTTAATTTTTCTCACTGTTAGAAAGTTTCTCCTTGATTCCAAGTTGCTTCTCTCCTTGATTAGTTTCCATCCATTGTTTCTTGTCTTGCCTTCTGGTGCTTTAGAAAATAAGTTGGCCCCCTCTTTTTTGTGGCAGCCCCTCAAATACTGGAATTCTGCTATCATGTCACCCCTACTTCTTCTTTTCTCTACTCTAGCCATACACAATTCCTGCAACCGTTCTTCATATGTTTTTGTATTCAGGCCTTTAATCATCTTAGTTGCTCTTTGCACTTTTTCCAAAGTCTCAACATCTTTTCTGTAATGTGACCAAAACTGGATGCAATATTCCAGGTGTAGTCTTACTGAGGTTTTATAAAGCGGTACTAATACTTCACATGATTTCATTCTTCCTTTTTTTTGCAAAACCTTCCTTAGGGAACCTGCTAAGTTTGCTTACCAAAACATTGTTCTAGAACAGTGTTCCTCAACCTTGACAATTTTAAGGCATGTGGACTTAAATGCTGGCTGTGGAATTCTGGGAGTTGAAGTCCACATGCCTTAAAATTGTCAAGGTTGAGAAACACTGTTCTAGAATGACAGAGGTCTTGCTCAGTCAAGTTAACAGAACAGAGAACTGAGGAGTTAAGTGGATGATTTTGGTTTTGGCCACTTCTTACACCTATAAATTAAGCCCAGAATTCAAGGCTACTGTATATTAGGAAAGCCCAGTTGTGTCCTTCTGTATTAGATATGGATTGCTTTATTTCATTCATTTCTCTTGTTAAGTGCTATCAATTTAGTGTTTGGGCTTAGCTTCTCCAGAATAATTTGTTTTCAAATTGGTCTTTTAGGTTTCTCAGTGGTGTATTCCCTAAGGTTTTAATCAACTACATCCAGTTTGCTGCTGATCGTCTATGTAAATGCTCAATCATCCAGGTCATGGTTGCCCCAAAGGCAACTGGACTTTCTTTGTTTTTTATTAAACATCCTCAGTTCTGATTGAATGCTGGGGAATGGAAGGATTTACATTCTTGATCTCTCTATGTTTTACTGTGGATGGGGAGTCCTAAAGACAGACATTACTCACTAGTATAGTGTCTTGATTACGAATTCTGAGGTGATACTTGTCATTATTTTAGTCTTCTTTATATTTAATTTTTCCCCCTTTTTTCTCTTTTTTTCCACCGTGATCCTTGTTTTTCATTACTAGAACTTCCAGAACATTCACATTTTCAACTACTAGAGTAGTGTCATCAACACAGTGGAAACACTAATGTTTTATCCTCAACTTTTAAAATTTTAAAGCATACAGACTGAATAAACAAGGAGAGAGTATTTATTACTATTTATTTATTAATAAAATTTATACACCAGCC